CTCAGGCGAAGGTTTACGCCATAGTCCGCCACTGCGTTTTCCGAAGGTTGTTTTTCTTCACCGAAAAGCTCATGATAAATTTCGCACATAAATTCCGAGAAACTCAGAGGTGTGAGCACGGATTCGCACCCACAGCCTCTGCTTGAGAGGTGGTAAGTCAAACCATTAGGTTAACATTTTTTAAATATTTAACTTTAATAATATTTAAGTTGATTGGAGTAAAGACAAGACACGACGTATTTCTTATATGTGGGGCCCACTATAAGTTTCCGGAATGAATAAGAAATATAATAATAATAATAAATAAAATAAAGTCGTAGAAAATCATACTACGAAAATTTTCACGAGTTAAATCCATGGTGATGTAGACAACCAATTTCTAAAACAACGCCACAATGTAAAAACAAGTGACAGTCAGATGAAACAAACTGTATTCTACAGCCAAAGAGTTCCATTTTCAAATGTTGTAATTACTTTTTAAATATTGTTTATGTAAGTGGCCAGTTCCGGAAACGTATAAGTGCGCCCTATGTATTATGCTAATGTTATTGTTTTTATTGCCACGTGCATAGTGTTATTTCATTTATAAAAATTTTCTATAGACTTATCCTTTCGTTATCTATACAAACTAAGTAACAATAGCCTAACTATAAAAGGTTAAAAGGTATCAGTTTCAGTGGACACAGCGTAATTGCGAAGCCGGATAAGAACAGCCACTGACCGCTTATAAATACTTCACCGCACATTGTCTTGTGTATTATTTTCGCAGTTTTGTTCACTTCTTAAATAAAATATAAAAATATATAAAATGCGTTGGATTGTATTTAAATGATCATTTTAAATTTGCAAAAGCAGCAGCCAAAAAATCTAAAATCTCTTGATTTCTGTGATTGCTTTTTCTTTGAGACGTAAAATAAATTAAATCATTGTACATTTTTATCTGTTCTGACCTAATGTTTGTATAGGTTAACATTGATAGTTTCATGTTGAACCTCAAAACTAAGACAAGTGAGCATTAAAAAAGGCATGTTCGCTACGCTCGCTCAATTCGTGCTGCCTTTTCATGTACTAACCTAACCGACCAACAAAATTGAAGACGCAACCAAGCATTGACCTATATGAAAAAAGAGGATCAAATATTATTTGTAACTATCAAATATTCATTTAGTATGCTTAAACATAATGATAGTGCTATCTTCTATGCAGTTCATTTATAATTTATCCGTAGATCAACTAATATAGACGAAACAGTCAACATATTATATGTATCAAACATAAAAATATATCGTTTATTTAAAAACGTTTTACAATAGACAAATTATATATTTGAGAATCAAATAATATTATCCCCAATACAATGACTAATTAGTTAATTCGAGCAGAATTTCACAATTATAAGGACCACAGTTTGACAGAACCATTGAACATTTTGACATTTGAACGTATGGTATTTGCAGACGAAAAAGTATTCTCAAACCGCAGGTACTACCTATATGTGTACTAGAATCTGATGGCATCTAGACAAGTTTAAATTTGTAGTGGGCAATATCAACAGTAGGAAAAAATGTATGAAATACTTCATATATTTTAATTGACAGAATTGATCTATCCTCGTACATGTTTTAAGGTCTCTATGAACTTATGTGTGAGAAAGGTAAGTAATTTCTGACACATTTTAAAATTAAACAAAAATAATATCAATTACATTGTGGGTGTTAGTTTACGTTTACAGTTTGAAGTAACTCGCATTTACGCCATTTACCTTTTTTTGCCAATCATTGTCTATACATTAGTCTTGTCGACCAGCACTAGTAATACACATACATTGATTTGGCTTCGTTAAAATTTCAAAGATCAAGTTCATTTACTCCTACTAATCAGCAAGATTTGAGACCCGGCTCTAAATCGTGAATTGTGACTTAAGCGCACCTAATTCGTCGCTGATTTTGCGATATACATTATTACAATGTTTTTTTATTTCTTGAGATTGAAGTGGATTCTCAGTAATTATTGTTACAAAATCGTTATTTTCAAGTGAAAAATGTTTAGCAGACAGCCATTTGACACAAGTAATGTTTTGAATTGACATGTGAAAAGTAAATATTGCGAAAGTCATTCGATTTTTCTAATATTTATAATGCTATGAAATTCTGGTACACATATACCAGTAGAGCTAGTTCGTCCAGGTAAGTAAGTCATATACCCTAACAATTGCTTGGGGGCAGAAGTAGCTAAGGTGGCAGTACTTCTCTGGATGAACACGTATACACGTATACAGAACACGTATACAGTTCCCCATAAAAGGGGAACTGTATACGTTTTTACAATAAGATTCCGGAGCATATAATAAGTTTATCATTTCCTAAGTTTAAAAACTACATTAAAATATTTTGATCGAAAAATCATATTACAAAATTGAAGATTACGTGTTAGATGTATGGAAAGGCGACATGGCTCCAGAATCCACACAAATTTGATTCAAAGTGTATTCCATAGCATTTAAGTTTATTTGAAAAGATCAATCCCTAGAGTTTCTTGCTCGTTCTTCTCATGGAGGTCAGCGTAGTGAACGAGCAGTAGCTTAAATGTGACGTTTTCAAGTGTAAATTTATTTTACCTATGGAATAAATAATCTTTGACTTTAACTTTGACTTTGAACTCTTTCACAAAGTTATCATCATCATCATATCAGCCGGAAGACGTCCACTGCTGAACATAGGCCTACCCCAAAGATTTCCAGACCAGCCGATCGGACGCGGCGTGACGTCGTCCGTCCATCTAGTAAGGAGCCGTCCCATTGAACGCCTTCCGGTTCATGGTCTCCATTCAAGAACCTTTCTGCCCCAACTGCCGTCAGTTCTACGAGCTATATCTGTATATGCAGCCCTGCCCACTGCCACTTCAACTTGCTAATCCTTCGAGTTATGTCGGTGATATTCGTTCTTCTTTCTCAGATCTCCTCATTTCTGATTCGACCATGTAGAGAAATGCTGAGCATTGCTCGCTCCAAAGCTCGTTGAGTATCTTTGAGCTTTTTTATGAGGCCAATAGTAAGTGACCACGTCTCAGAGCCGTAGGTCATCGCTGGCAACACGCATTGCTCGAAGACTTTTGTCTTCAATGACTGCATTATTGCTGACAAGAAGACGTCCCGGAGCTTCTCGAAAACTGCCCAACCGAGTAGGATTCGACGATTGACCTGCCTAATTGGACGGTTTCTTCAAGGTAGACATACTCGTCAACAACCTCGAGAGCAGAGGCTTCCACTGTTATAGGGGTGCACAAAGCTATACTTTTACTAAAAAATTAAAGTCACATTTTCCAATGTATATCTAGCTGTAGCTATCTTGAAAACCTAAGAACTCGATATCAAACATGTTATCCTTATAAAATACCTTATTTACGATGTTGTTTTAAAAATCTCTCTCCCCTCGGAGTGTGCACTCAAAACAAACCCCCGGTAGGCTATAGTGAATATTATAGTAGTCTTCGCGTCGGAATATTAAGTCAGTGGCGGTAATTGATCTGCAGACCCTCGAGTTATGTAATATATCTACGCTTTACGTAAGCTGCTTAGTAAATCGATGTCCTTTGTTATAATTATTAAACGAAAATCGAACCCTTGGAAAACATAAACTTCGATCCGGGTGGATTATATTAGTCATAGATTTCTCACAAATTGCGGCAAAATAGCCAGTAAAAACCAAAACAAAGCACTGCAACAAACACATGGAAAAATTCGTGAGGTCCGTTGGTTCGTTCCGTGACTTACAGTACCGGCAGGCTATGATGGCCGTTTTGAAAGATTACAATAGTGAGATCAAATCTCATTTTGAGATCAAATATTCATTATCGAAAAAAATATAATCAAATGTGAGTCACATCTATAAGTTTTTAGATTTATAAAATTAAATTTTTTAAGATAATTTTTGTTTTAAAATTTATACATTTATAAAACGAAAATAAAAATGTTTACTTAATATATCGTCAATTCTAAACTGCTTTGTTTTGCATTGAGCTTTGACGCGAGTTTGCCGGAGGTAGAAGTTGTGCTGGACAGCGATCCTATAAGTGACGATCGTATTAAATTTCATTTTTGAATATTTCTAATTTCGATCAACAAAACCCGAGTTGTGTCGTAAAATTATATATTCCACAAATTTTACTTCACGTCACTTTTGACAACAATGTACAGCAATTAGCTCCTTCAACGTATATGAATTAATACGAAACTTGATGAGCGGATAAACGTCGAAACGGTCATCATAGCGTGCCAGTATTATAGACGGCTTCACGTCTGACACGGTTTACTGGGAGACGTTGGTTCGAATCCAACCGGATCGAAGTGATTTTTTTCTAAGTGTACGATCTTTGCTTAATAATTATAACAAACTATTGGAGTAATTTCATAAAAAAATAATTGAATATCATGGTGGTAAAACCTCCTGACATTCAATAAAAACTCAATTACGATATCCTTTGTATCAAATACTACGCATTTTACTTTAAAGTATCTTAATAACAAAATATTAGATGTGATAGCGTAACCGCTACCGCCTTTGAAGCAAAAGGTCGTGAGCTCGAATCGGAGGTTGCACTTTTGAGTTTTTAAGAGTTTTTGTGAGAAATTTGATTTGAAATTTTCCATGAGCTTTTCGGTGAAGAAAAACATCATAAGGAAACTTGCATACATCTGCAAAGTTTAATTATGTTGTGAACTACAGCCCAACCCCTCTCTTTGTGAAAGAAGCCCTGTGCTCAGCAATGGGACAAGCCTATTATAGGCTAACTATTATTACTTCATTTTTATATTGAATTATGAGTGCTCACTTTATATTACTAGGTATTGTTCAAGATTACTGTCATTGATGCATGTATTTGTAGACAGATCACGCATGTATTGCTAACCTATCCAAATATCACGACATTGAAGCGACATACATCGACCTAATCGACAATATCTATTATAAAATCTAAAACCACTAAAATCTATGACTTACCACGCCCACTTCTGCCAACGAATCGGAGATCATTGAATTTGGCGACCTGGTTCTTCATGACTGCGGTGCAATTGCGTAGTTCTGCCGAGCAGTTCTCGTCATTGCCGGCGCGCACAGTCACCAGCGTACCGTCGCCAACCTCGCCTAGGGCCACCACTTTGAATGCCATTGGCAGGGTTTTGTTCGATCGCCAATGTGGCGGCAGAACCGTACACACCTGTCAAAAAAATAACTAGTTTTAATAATTTCTCGATTAATTATATCAAATATCGTAACGTCAGCCTACTGATTTTATTCTTTAGGTAGATTTAGAATCTGAGATAAGATAATAGGGTAGTAGCAGTAAGTTAAGCTTTTTTCTGCATTAAAATCGATATTGAAAGGAAAGTTACCATTATCCATCAAAAGAAAGCTCATGGACGTGTCATTCTCCCCGTCCTTACCTACGGTGCTCAAACTTGGTCTTTAACGAATCGTCAGAAGTTCACATTAGGGGTGTGTCACCGAGGCATGGAGCGCAGTGGCTTGGAAGTAAAACTGTCAAATCGCGTGCGAAACAGCATACTGCGCTCCAAAACACAAATTGTTGACGTTGATCATAAAGCCACGAGCTTAAAATGGAACTGGACCGGACACGTCTGCCACATGTCAAACGAGCTATGGGCAAAGACCACCACGGGGTAAATCCCACCAAACGCAAGACGAAGCCGTGGAAGACCCAGAACGAGATGGCGTGACGAATTAGACACGTACATGAGGTCTTGGCCTGTAGCGGCATTAAATCGCTAAGAGTGGAAAAAGGGGAGACGGGAATTTGCTCTGCAGTGGGACAGTAATGGCTGAAAAATGAAAAAATTGAAATGAAAATCGATATTGTTGCGGCTCGAAACTTAGTTACTCTGGCTGCGACACTAGTAACTGCCGGTAACTCCTCAAACGTGCAAGTGTTAGAATAGGGTACGATATGAACTGCATCGTATTAATATTCGGTTTCGAACTACCCGAGAATACCCATCTGAACAAATTATTCTTGCTCTGATCTGGAGGATCTTAATATAGAATATATAAATAAGTTTTGCTCAACTTATGTCTCCGGGTGATGGGCGCAGCGGTAGTGCCCTTCAAATCTTTGCGACTAAAAGCTCTAAGCAGCATTGCAATTGTTAAGGATAGGCATGATAGCCATCAAGACTAAATTAAAAAAATATCAGACATTACGTAACTTCAGCTAACAAAACTTACAACATGAGGACAGCCAGTCTTCACCAGTTCTCCTGGATGATCAGCAAGTAAACCTTCCAGCGTTCTCTCAGCCAACAACTCAGCCGTTAAAGGCTGACTCGGCAGATGCCCGCCGTAACTCGAGGACGGCGCTTCATGCCCCAGCCCGTTGGTCGTGGAACTCACTTCACTCGACAAATGCATTGTCTATGCACTTAATTACACATTTATAATATCAATGACACAAAAGTTATTTCACTGTACTTATCATAGTATTTATAAGATCAGCATAGGTCACATAAGTTCGAATATTCGGTTCGTATACGCAGTTAGGGATATTCGGTAAAGATGACAGCTTAATTTTGCCAGACGTTGCATCTTCGAGATTTCTGGAACAATTTTAATTGCATTATTGAACTGTGGGCCATGCGTGCACGTATTTCGAAAGTTTTCGCCCCGCGGCTGCTGTGTTTCGATCGATCCCTATTATAGGAACTCACACACGCACACACTCCGTGCCCGAATTGTTACCATGCTGGTCTGTGACGCAGAGGTTCTTCTAAGTTCTTGCCAATTACTTAAATGGACATTATAACGGGTATCATAAGCTGAAAATCGGATTTTCATTATGGAACGGATATACAGTTTTCGCGATATCCGGCGACTTTCAAACTTTCAGTTTAGCGATATTTGCTTTAGTCTAGTTGGCAACACTGGGGCTGTTCGGATCCGCCACTGGTCGCTAACTGCAAAGGCTCGGCCTAGCTCTCGATAAATACATAACTGCCTCGGTGGCTGAAGAAATATTTTTAAAGCCTACATTTATTTCTCTAGTAAGTTTGGGTGTAATTTGTAGTTGTCTATGTGTGTGTCCATGGTAAACGCGACAGGGTTTCCCTAGTGCGGGACTATGAGGGTGTGCGTTATTTATTATAATAAATATATTCTTGTTAATAAATGCATAACTAAATATTATCTATAAATAAAATAATCTCATTATTCGCAATAATACCCATTCAGTCTTATTTCACAGATATCACAAAATTTTTCCCATAAACTTATAACCCTATTTCAATTGCCTGAGATCATACATTTAAATTCAAAATGTTGGTTTTGTCTGACCTGTTTTTATGTTAGTTTCAAATTTCCGAGAAACGGTCTTAAAACGGTCGAGTTTCCGTTCGTAGTTTGTGCAACTTGATTGGACGACAAGGAAGCTTCGTTCGCTTCTCTCGTTGCGCTATGAAAATAGAAAAGCTAGTCATTTTCTTTACAACTCTGGTAGTCGTTGAATAGCCATACTTAAGCGCAGGCCACACCGTGAACGAAGCTAGCTAGCTTACTCTAACTCACATAGTTGCATGCAACCAACTATGCCAGCTACGCTAACTTGGCTTAGCTTAGCTCACGTAGTTGCATACAACGCTAAATGGTAGCGCGGAAACCTGCGGAAAAACCACAAGAACAAACGCGAGGCGAGTTCCGTGTATGGAGACCCTAGAGATGCAGGTCTCTATAGGGTCTGACGGCAGCATATATAACCTCCTAATAGATGCCGCATACAGGGCAACAGACGCGCACCACACATCTGTGCAATTGCACGTATATAAAAGTTTGCAAAAATTCAACACTTAGTTTCGACCAAGTATCAGACCTGTGCGCATTTCCTGATATTCCAGTATTGTTACGCTGGTTTGGGTAAAACGAACTATAAAAATGACTACCTGTGCCGTGAAATGGTGTAGAAAATCATCCAGGATCTCAAATTTTCAAAAAGATGGAATCACGTTTCACCGGTAAGTTATAATTACGTAATTTACAAGTTAGGTTAGGTCATATTAAAATGGCTATTACTAAAAAATTACGAAGGAAACTGATCTCTCGTTGATGTCTTTTTGACATCTGTTTTTTTTATTATACCCTTACTATTAAGCGTCTCTTTTTGTCTAAGGGTTGGGAAGATTTGAAATTTCGTCATATCGATACTTTGCGTAAAGAGGAAATAAAAGAATTATTGTATTTTTTTATTTATTTACACACATTGTAATATTATAATTTCATTATAATTCTACTCAATTATACATAATAACTCATGTAGTTTTGTTTGACAGTGATTAAAGTTTAAAATTTGTTTTTAGGTTTCCTAAATGTCTTGAGCGAAAAAATAAATGGATAGACGCAACTTCTCGAGAAGAAGGTTGGTTGCCTACAAATAATAGTGTAATTTGCTCAAGACATTTCGCTGCAGATAATTTTCACACAATGAAGAATCGAAGGCGATTGCTTGATACAACTGTTCCAACTTTATTTCTACCATTATTGGTAAGGACACTTCTTTTACTAGTATTAGTAATTAAGGTCACCTTTATAGCTTTTGAAGGATTTTTTTCAAAGTTTTAAAACATTTGTATAGTTTAATAACCTTGAAATTTTTCAAAGTTCATAATAATGTCCTGTGAAAGAGTTTTCTTCATTAATTTATTAGTACTTATATTTAAGTGGTTTTCAGATTAACAGTCCTATGCAAGACATCGAGGTCCCGTCAACCTCTCATCATCAAACCATCGTGAAGACGCCCGAAAAAAAACAAACATTGTCACCAGCATTAGCTACTGCTCCGTCAGCATATGAATCTCCGGTTAAAAACCAACTTTGTCGAAGAATAATAGAATTAAGTAACGTAGTTAAGATAAATAATAAAAAATTAAGAAAAGTACGTGATTTAAATAGAAGATAAAAAAGAAAAATTATTTCATTGGCATCCTTTTATCAGAATTAGAAAAAAAATTAATAACGGCAGGAAATCTATGAACGTTGGATTCATTGGGGATGAAATGCAAAGAAATTATTAAACGCCAAATATTTGTTAGTTGTCCTAAATAAATAAATAAATAATTTCATTAATTATGCTTTTGTAAATACGACGACTTATAATACTTACCAAGTACCTTGTTTTCTTACAATTCCTTTTTTCCTGTATCTAAATATCATCCTGCTGTCGTAAGTCATTCAATAATTTACATACATTCTACCGTCACGCCTGTCTCCCATAGGGGTCGACAGAGCTTTGAGTAAGACAAGCCCACTTTAACCACGTTTAGCAATGTTTTTATTAAAATTTTAGTAGAACTTAGTGCACTAAATAGTGACAGGTTGCCAGCATGTCGCCTACATATAGGACGTCATTAAACCCAGGCCCTCAGTCCGCTTTTACGATTTGCGTGGGATCATAAGCAGCTGATACATTATATGCTTTTCTTTTGTTAGGTCAGCATGGAAGAATTTAATAATTTGTGTTACAATATTATCGTTTTTATCGACTAATTGGATCCAGACTGGTAAAGGTTGCCCATCACTAGCTGTAAGTGCAATTTGAGTGCATTTCTAGTTCGACCTTGAACTAGCGAATCAGAATGTCTTAATTGCATTTCCCACGTCACTTGCCTTACAGTATAAATTTTCAACAGGCGGCATCTATCAGGAGGTTATCTATGGACGGCGTTAAAGTGGACTGTATTGAAGAAAGAAGAAAGCGACACGTCTCATCTTTATTTCCAAAAGGGTTCTTGCAGTATTCGGGCGGCCGCCACTCTTCTCATATAATGTAATAATAATTTTGGCTTTTTCTCCTTTTATTTCCTTTAATTTTCGTTTATTTCTTTCTCATTTCACAACGTCTTCCATTAATTTTTAAATCTTAGATTCTTGTTCTTTTCAATGTCACATTAATTTCTAATTTTTGGCAGGCGCGCGAAGGTCACGGGGGAGATTTTACACAAAAAGATTTTGTTAGGAAAGTATGAGCGAGAGGGATGCGTGTATGAGGATAAATGAGAAAGGCGATAACACTAAGCTAAGAAAATACGTAGTAAGTAGTGACTATGGCTAGGTGTGGGGGTGAAGGGCGGCAGATGGACGACAAATTTTACATAGCTAGCGGGATCGTTGGGTTAGTTTACTTAGCTCCGTTTCCGTCTCGATTTCATCCCACGGTGAAGCTAAGAGGAACCCACGGGCCGGCCGATGGAGCTAGGCTGGCCCGAGGAGGAGGGAGTACCGCGCGGGCTGGTCCTCTTGTCCTGGCCCCCATGGCCCCTGAGTAGCGGACACGCGTCAGTTCGTTGCCCAGCATGTAGGGGCCCGATTTGGAGAGCTCGTCTGGTGTTCGGCGAGCCTTTACATTTTTAGTCAGGGAACCATTGTGTCTCCCTTCTCGGGGAGGGGCTGCGCTGGGCGCGGCCAGCCGCTGGTAGAGGCGCGGACGAGCGATAGTATACCCGTGCCTCCACCTCCAGCGGAAAGGAGGAACACCCTGGACGTGTGGTTCAACCCAGTCCTACATAACCCTCTAATCTGCCCCCGTAGGGCCGGGGTATCTTCAAGCAGATTCCCTCGGGTAATAAAAAATAGTTATCTCCGTCAGCTTAGTTCGCGAAGTATGAAAAAATGCCCCGGCTACGTGAGCTAAGCTAAGTTAGTTCTGAGTCGTTCGCGGTGTAGCCGGCGCATTACACGAAGATGATTTCCCTACTTTAGCTCTCAATATAATAAAGTGAAGAATTGAAATTTCGTTTGAAGTTGCCAAAAGCTGTTGCGTGTTGGTGGCTGGTGCCGTTTCAAAAACTCCATGCGTACAATCAATGAAGACGCGCAAGAGGGAGACTAGTCACCCGTACACAATAAAGTATGATTTTTTTGTATGTTCACTTAGTGTTATATACAATCGGTTAAATACGTGTTGTCACATTAGTTATTTGGAGAAGATATACAGTAGTACTCGTAAGACAGATTCCACCCCTCCTCATTAATTGTAGCATTTAACATTAACAGCTGCATATGATTTTTAAGTTTTTATTGAATGTTCAATATTTACTATTTATTAACTGCCTCTGTGGCCGAACGGTTACCAGGCCGGACTGCCACGCAGAGGTCTCAGGTTCGATTCCCGGGCCGGGAGAAATATTTGTATGGCCTACAATTATTTCTCTCGTGAGTTTGGGTGTAATTTGTGGTTGTCTACGTGTGTGTCCATGGCACCCGCGACACAGGGTTTCCCTATAGCGGGGCTATTTTGAGTGTGTGCGTTATTTATTTATTATTTATTTGATCACCATGATATTCAATTATTTTTGTGAAATTACTCCACGAGATTGTTATACCAAAAATTACTTCGATCCGGCTGGATTCGAACCAACGTCTTCCAGCGAACTGTGCCAGTTGCTATGCCAACTAAGCCGGAATAGTACATTATATGAAGGACGATAAATAAGAAATTACTAACGAGAGTCTATTAGAAGCCTGAAGCCAAAGGCTGAGGGCTATAAATAACTCGAGTTTTGTATATTATTACCGTCCGTGGAACATACAATGTTTTTCATCTATTTGTGAG